GGGACATCCGTTAGAATTGGAATGATACAGAGAAGATTAGCATGCCCCCTGCGTAAGGATGACACGCATAAATCGAGGAATGGTCCAAACTTATGTATATAAAAAAAAAAACAAAAAAAACCCCTACAATATGACAATCAGACCACAAGTGTAATGCGCGGTAGGATTAGCCTGCCGGCCGTTCGTTGGCCTGAAGAAGAAGATGGAGACAAGGATAAAGAGGAAGAAGGGGAGGAGAGATATGGAGGAGCGGAGGATGATAAGGTAGACCCTACACGCGGGAGAGGGGGCGGGGAAGGCGGAGGGAGGGGGGGGAGGGAGAGGGGAGGGCTGGGCTGGGCAGAAGAAAGGAGAGGAAAGACTGCAGATGGGGTCGATGGAAATATGGAGTACCCAACGAGCCTGGTTCAGTTGGTGCGCCCTTCATCCGAATAGAACGCCCGGTCATTATAGCTGTATTTGGCACAACTTTCGTTCCAGATGCAGCGATAATGACCGGGCGTTCTATTCGGGTAAAGACGGTAGTTCAGTTGGCACGCCCTGAGTTCAGACCTGAGTTCGAATCCACAATCCACCTTGAAATATGAAGCACGAAAAGCGAAAAGGATGGCAGTGGAAGAGGAGGAAGGCGGAGAGAGGGGGGAGGGAGGGAGGCGAGGAGGAGGAGGAAGGGAGAGTGGGGAAGAGGGGAAGGGGTAGAAAGGGAGAAGGGAGAAGGGAGGAGGGAGGGGGGAGGGAGGGAGGGAGGAGAAGGGAACGAAGGGGAGAGAGTTAGAGGAGGAAGAAGAGAGAAGAAAAAAGGAAAAGAGGGAGAGAGAGGGGGGCGGGGAGGAGGAGGAGGAAGAGGAGAAGTAGTAGTAGTAGTAGTAGGAGGAGGACGGGGCAGAAAGGCCACGACGAGGAGGAGGAGGAGGAGGAGGGAGGTTAAGTGGTCAGGCTAGGACGAGGGAGGTGGAGAAAACAGAAAGGGGGAATGGAGGTGTCAACTCCTTTGCCTCAGAGTGAAAATAGTGATCGAGGAGGAGGAGGAGGAGGAGGAGAAACGAAAAATGAAAAATAGAAAAATAGAAAAAGTAGGAGGACAGGAATGTTCAAAGAGGACAAGAAGAGAAGCGCTTAAGACTCTACCGTCTTCACCAGAGCGCAACGCGCCCTTATCATGATTGTATCGGACCGGAAAGATTGGTTGTATACATTCATCATCAGGGTGCGCTGTGTTCGGGGGGAAGACGGTAGCTGCGTGCAACCAAGAGCAGCTGCTAGAGGAGGAGGTATCCATCCTCTTCAAATGCGACGCAGGAGAATCGACGAGGAGGAGGAGGAGGAGGAGGAGGAGGAGGAGAATGAGGAGGAGGAGGTGCGTTTTACGGGAAATAAGTATACATTGAGTGAAAAGGAGATGCGACATGAGGAGCAACGGGGGAGGGAAGAGCTTGAGCTTGAGGAGGAGGAGGAGGAGGGGAGGAGGGGAGGAGAGAATCACGATGATGGGAGCCACACAAGTGTGCGGTATTGGCGTGAAGATCAGGAAAAAAATAAAATAAACCAGAAACCAGAAACCAGAAACACTTCCATCTCCTCCTCCTCCTCCTCCTCCTCCTCCTCCTCCTCCTCCTCCTCCTCATCTTCCCCCTCTAGCTCCGCCAGCCATATCCACTTGCTTTTCTTCTCCTCTATCTTCTTCTCCTCCCATCTTCTTGCTCTCCTGTCATTGCCTCTCCCCAACTTCTCTCTTCCAAAACAACACTCCTTCCCTTCTTCTCCTATTCCTCCTCCTCCTCCTCCTCCTCCTTCTCCTCCTCCTTCTCCTTCTCCTCCACTTTTCTTCTCTAA